CCCCTACCCCCCCCCCCTCCCCCCGCATTTTGGGGGTTTTCACCCTTTACGCCTTCGGCAACCATCCAACACGCCCCCCAAGGTCGGCGGACTTACCCTGCCTAAAACCTAAACCCCAAACCCTGGTTCCTAAGGTCTTGAAGCCATTCGAGGATCCACGTGCTTTGTACCTCCGCTGCAGACGGCCCAGCCTTGCCACCCCTGTGTTGCTTCATTTGAGCCATAATCTAACCTGAAAGGTGGTTTATATAAGGGATAATATAGGGTCTAGGGTTTAAAGTTTAGGGTCTAAACTCCTGAAAGGGGGGTTATATAAGGGATTATAAAGGGGACTACGTTAGGTGTTTCAAAGGGGAATACTAAGAGTTTAGACTACGGCTCATTTCAACTTCCTGGGCCCTTGATTGATGGACGCCCTGCGCTGAGATGACCCAGAATTGGCCAGCCTGCGCTGCTGGCAGCCCAGCGTGAGCTCTACGGAATCGACGGATTGCAGTGATCATGTTGGCCCAGAGCTGCTTTCGCGGATTGGCCTTGAGCAATATGGCTCACATGTACGGGGTCTGCTTCTGCTGAATTTCTCTAGTGCTGAAGATTTTGCGGCTCAGCTGTGGTTCAAACTCATGGCCAACTTACTCAGAGACTCCAACATTGCATGCGGCAAGGTTGGAATGCAGCGGAGGAGCAACAGGCGGTGACGAGAGTGCAAGAATCCAGGATACTGCCGAGGATACTGGATCTAGGTTTGTAAGGGCGCATGTCCCGAGTCTAGTCGCAAAGCTGCCATCATGACGCACATGGCGCGTGCTCCACGCTACTGCATTGTAGGACCTAGTTCATCCTTGTTCTGCTCAAAACTGCTCGTGCCGGAGGTTGTTGGAGGCTCGAGACAGGTGCTTGCTTCCACTGTGCCCATGATCTCTGGAGGCCCATCTGGGCAGTCAAGGTTGTAGCAGCGGATGCTCCGGTCATCATGCATGGTAGGACCACAGCCCCTCTGTGTGAGGGTTTCCAGGTAATGGGCTGACCCCTAGGTTGAGGATGGACTAGACATACAGTCGGGAAGCCGAGAAGGCAAAGCTTTCAACTTCAATGCCTCGATTGACTATCAAATGGTGCCTGGCTAATTTCGATATGCCATGTGTCTGCACTTGGTCATCTGCCTCACTGCCCCATGTTTCTTGCTAGCTTTTGCTGGCATTTGATTTCAGGTGCCGTCAATCACCAACTCTACTTAGTTTTGCCTCCTGAACTACACACGCTCTTGATTTGCTTGAACTGGCACACGCCCTCTCTTTGTGTCTCCACGTTTCTTGCACACCAAAGAGTCTGCCTACTTAGGGACGGCCGTTTCCATAATCACAGATGCGACTTCATACCTAAGCCTCGTGTGCATGCAGCCAGTGCCCTGATTTTGCAGTCCCATGCCAGAGCTGCCCGCCAAAGCTCAGTGCTAGTTGATACTCGAATGATCTACTGGCATGACGAGGCACGTGTGGTAAGTTTCGCTTTGACTTCCGCGTGAACGCGGGAAGTGGCGCAGATGCAGCTCCCTTGTTGGAGGCTGCCCCGGATTGTGGCAACGTGACAGACGGTAGCAGCTGAAATGAGGGAGAATGTCATTGTCGCCCGGCATCGCAGCGGCTCCGTCTCTAGCTGATCTGTCGCGGGTGACCATGTGCAAGGCTTTCTCAGCACATCGCAGCCTACCTAGAAATGAGACTCACGATTGCTATCAGGCCGCTCATTTCCCTTACCAGCTTCGGAACCGTCAAGGGTTGTGGGCCAGCATGTTCGATTTCTTCTTGACAGGCCACTCGCTAATGTAAACAGCTGTGCAGAAGTATGTAGTGGTTGGTGCTAGTACACGAACTTGCATGCGACGAAGCAGCCCGCAGTGGGACCTGGCAGCCATGGCGGCCGCTGCCTTAGCGCTCTCGCAGTTCTATTCAGATACAGTGTCAGAAACATGCGATGCCGCAGCACGTCCTTCATTGCTCTTCGGGTCTTCGCCTCTTTAAGTGGAAGCATTATGCAAGAACAGACATGGGGTAAAAGCAAATGTAAGATGACAGGACGGCACTGCCGCTCTGCGATCCATGAGAAGTGTTTGTGGCTTCATCTCAGATCCCACTAGGATGATATTATGGGGGTATACTATAGTATATTATAGTATATTATAGTATATTATAGTATATTATGTATATTATAGTATATTGTAGTATACTATATATTCATCCGCTCAATCATCTCCACTTGGGCCAAGGCTGACAGCGCCCCGATGTGGCGAGACCGAGGTGAATAAAATCAAGGGTCAGCATTCAGGATGTCTACTTGGAGGTTCATGGGACTTAGGGTTTAGGTCTTAGGGTTTAGGGTTTAGGGTTTAGGGTAACTACTTATAACTGGGCTTATCACCCTACATATACCCCCCCTAATTGGACTTGTGTAGGTTACCCCCAATTATCAGCATTCAGGATGTCTGTTGAAAGCCAGCCCCTGCAAAGGATTATAGCAGAGACTGCCAGGCAGGCTTCGAGTACTCTCAATCCTAAGCCCTAAACCCTATATACTCCCCCACTTTAAGGAGTTTAGACCAGAGCTCCCTAACCTTTCCATGCATCCCTGGTTCAAAGGTTCACGACAGGGAGGCCTCTGTTGAAGCCGGTTGCAGACATTCAAAAAACAACCTACAGCCTTTTTCAGAGCCACGTTTGAAGGTACTAAGGTGAAGAGAGCAGCTTGGGACCCACATGTTCATGCTAGAGAAAGATGTCACAGGGTAAGGGGATTCTGTAGTAGGCATGGTATACAGGGGATTATAGAGATTCTATGGGCTCTATATATATATATATTTAATTATATAGGTATACATATACACACATAAATGAATCGATTATGTATATATGATTATATGTATATATATATATATAAGATAGTCAAAGGGTCTGGATATGACGGGCCAGTGAGGCCTGGCGCTTAGCCCAGCCCAAAATCATAAACCCCCACATACTATAATCATCTATAATCCTTATCATAGAGAACCCCAAAACGGTGCCCCTAATTTTGGGAAAGCCGCAGGTGGCTCTCTACCTGAACGATCTCTCACCGCTCGCACATTCCCCTGGCGGGGCCGACCCAGAAATACGCCACAAGAGCAAGGGGCGAATAGCAGCTATCATCAGAGCTGGGATACATTCTGGGAGTCTGTGCCACGTAGCCGGGATCCATCTTATGATGCATCCTGGAACAATGTGTGGGCCGAAGAAGATGCCTGGAGTAGCTGGGCCAGGGGCACCTATAGCTCTGACAATACGAACCCATGGGAGGCCTGGAATGATGGTAGCTGGGATCGTTTTCCGGTTGAGCCCCCTGACACGCGTCAAAATGCCTACATGGCCTCACGCTCACATGATGATCCGACGCCAACTCCAACGCCGCACTCGCAAGATCCAGGCCGCTCGGCGGTGACTGCATGGTTTGGTTTGCAGACCGGACAGGTGCTGCTAGATGAAATGTGATGACTGCAGGCCGCATTGGGCCTTTCCCCCGGGCAGCTCGAGGCAGCTTGGTGTCCTCACAGCTCCTTCTTTCCAGAGCCTCGCCTTTCCCTTCTGAGGCACGAATCATGGAAGCATTGGACCGCGCCATGACCACCAAGATGTTCCACCACCCGTGTATGCCTGAGTCTCCACGGCAGAAGCCAGCACGGGTTCGGTGGAGCACGTGGAAAGAAGCCTTGATGATTGTCGCCATCCCGCTTTGATGGGTACCATAGCTACGGCTACGTACAGGATAGATACTCAGCTTGCCCCCCACGCCGAGGCAGCCACGTCCGCGAGGTATGTCTTCACCAACGAAAGCAGTCGTCAGGCACGTGGGCCCGGCAGCGTGCATGATTACATTTCGACGACTAAGAGGAGTCTCGTGTAATCTTTCTTTGCATCCTGGTGCTGGCTGCGAATGCGCAGGATATGAGCCAGAGTCAGAGCTCATTGGAGACGCCGTGGCTGACTTCTTTCCATGCGCTGACAGAGGCGCGCAGAGACTGTCAACTCCTTGGTAAGAAGGATGGCGGATGTGTTGCAAACCAAGGGACGTCATGGAGAAACATTTGCGTCTATGAAGCAAGCATAAGGGCGGCACTTCTGAAAGGCGAAGCAAGCGTAAGGGTGGCACTTATCAAAGGCGGCAGCATGTAGGTGTGCGTGGGGGGTACCATCACTCCTCTGGTCTCGCATGCCAATCCTGGCATTTTGGGATTCTGTGATTTTGAATGAACCGCAATCTGTGTTTGCTGTGGTTGCTAAAGGCTTTTTTCAGTTTATATCATACTTATAACATGTTTTGATATGCTATATTCTGCTATAGTATACTGTGCCATTCCCCGCAGGAGCCGAGAGTCGTTCCGCCACGGGCGCCGGCACCTTCGATTCCGCCGCCTCGTCAACCATACTTCGAAATGTCACAGGCACAGCTTCGGTCAGGATGGAAAATAAAATGGAAACTA